TTTTCCTTAAGAGCAAATCTGACTAAATTACTCCTCTCCTCAATAGTCAGCAATGGCTCCCTATTGCTTTTGTGATCAGTTAGAGTGTCCTCTCTTTATTCCTTCACAATCTGGCTGGAACCTCATTTTATATGATAATCCTCCTCTTCCTGTACTCTGTGAGCCTTTTGCTCACACACTGCCCCATCTCCCATCTCTGGGCCTTTGCCCTGGCCATCCCCCATTCCTGGAATACACTCCCTCCTTTCCTCTGCCTCACAGATTTTCTCTTCCTTTAGGCCAAGCTCAAGCACCACTTTCAAGGTGAAGCCTTTCCTGATCCCCCCAAATGCCAGCATCTTCCCTCCCTCCCTATCTTCTATTCATGTGGATTCAGGCTGTCTACACTTTTGTGTACACTTGTCACTCCCATTTGAATGTAAAGCTGGGGATTGTTCCATTCTCTTTGTATTTGTATTCCTAGCACCCAGCAAGGCTCCTAGCACACAGCAAGCACTTACTAAATGCTTATTGATTGACTGACTCTCTTTGGGGAAGTACAGCAGTGCACAGAGAAGGAAAGACTGTTAAGTATAAAGAAAGCAAGGAATCCTTGAGTTGGGAGTGGGACAGAGGGCAGGCTAGGCATGGAGGCTGTTCACAGGTGTGGAGGTGGGAGATGAAATGCCGCATTTGGGGAGCAACAAGAAGCCAGTTTGAATGAAACATAAATTATGTGTGAGAAGGAATAATAGGAGATTCTGGAAAGCTATGCTGGGCACTGGCTGGGGAGGGCTCTACACGCCAAGGTTAGGGTTGTGAAATTTTTCCAAGGGTCCATAGGGAGCCACTACAGCTGCTTGAGGAGGTGAGTGAAGTGGTCAGACTTGGACATTCTAAAAAGTATTCTATCCTTTGTGGGGTGGACAGATTAATGAAATGACTCGGTAAGTTAGAATTATTAAGTGCTTACTGTGTGCCTGGCACTGTGCTGAGTGCTAGTTTACATATAAAAATAAGTTATTTCTTGCCCTCCAAGAGCTTACACTCTAGGAGGAGGAGGATGTAAGACATGGCCAGGTGGGGTGACTGGGGGCGGTAGCTGGGGTCCAGCAGTCACATGAATTGTGAGTAGAGCCTTGCATGGTACAGCAGATCGCCACGCCCTTTTCAGTAGCCAGGGTAATAATGATTTGATTATTGTCCTCTGATCAAAGGGCAGAGAGCGGTGTGACCTCTAGGGTTATGAAAGAATGCTGAGGGTCTGTCACCTGCCCGGTCTCCGCAGAGGAGCTGAGGAGGGGGATACAAGGAGACACTGGAGGCATAAGGATCAGAGAGTGGGTTAAACTGGGGTGAGGAGGACTTGTGGTTGTTGGTGGGTAAAATCTCCTGGGAGTGTTTGCACCAGGCTGGGTGTGGTTGAGAGGCAGCTACGACGCAGCAGGTAGACAGGACCGGTCTGGGAACCTGCAGGTCTGGGTTCCAGTCCTGCCTCCATCCTGGATTTGCTGTGCGACTTCGGGAAAGTCGCTTGCCGTCTCTGGGCCTCAGAGGGGGTGGGGCTGGGCATGCGCAGGAAGGGCAGCCGGATGTAGGCCCTATTCTCGTTGGTGAGGCCCAGGCTGTGGTGAGTGATTCGAGAGCTGGGGCGTCCGTCAGAGCTGCTTCCCCCCCCCCCCCCAACCCCTGTGTCCCCCCAGAGCACTTCACGGAGTATTCAACTTCCGAGTGTTACTTCGAGAACGGGACGGAGCACGTGCGGTTTATGGACAGATACTTCTACAACCGGGAGGAGTACGTGCGCTTCGACAGCGACGTGGGGGAGTATCGGGCGGTGACGGAGCTGGGGCGGCCCGATGCTGCGTATTGGAACAGCCGGAAGGAGTTTCTGGAGGACGCACGGGCCGCGGTGGACACTTACTGCAGGCACAACTACGGGGTGTCTGAGCCCTTCTTAGTGCGCAGGAGCGGTGAGTGCGGCCCGGGGAGGAAGGGAGGGACCGGGGGAGCCCAGCAGGGACCCAGGGAGAGGGGGGAGGGAGCGGGAGAGGGGCGGGCGTGCTGGGGAGGGGGAAGAGAAGGGGCTGGAGGGGAACGCAGCGGGAGGGGAGGCTGTGATGGGAGGGGGCGGGTGGGGAGGAGAGAAGGGGGGGTCACAAGGACAGTGCCCCCCAGAGCAGAGGAGAGACAAGGGGGAGCAGGGATGAAGGGAGGGGATGGAGAGGGGAGGAGCAGGGAAGGGAGATGGGTAGGAGATTGGGGACAAAGAGGAGGTGAGGGGGAAGGAAGAAGAATGGGGAGAGGCATCTGGGATGGAAGGAGAAAGAAGGAGGGATGAGAGGGAGAAGAGGTGGGGAAGTGATGGAGGGAAAAAAGGGCAACAGGTGATGGGGAGGAATTAGGAGCAGAAAAGCTGGAGATGAGTGAAGGGGACAAAGGGAGTGGAGAGAGGAGAACAAAGGAGAGAATGAATGGTGGAGAAAGAGGGTAGGGACAGGGGGAAGGAGATGTGCTGGAGAGGGAAGGGGGAAGGAACCCTCTTATACCAGCAGGGATTTTGATTCCTTGAGGCCTTTTTCCTCAGTCAAATTCAAATGTTTTTACCTCCTCCAATTCTAATGGGGATAAATTTCATTAAGAACAAGCCAAACACCCTTCACCAACAAATAACTAGCATTTCTACCTTGCTAAAGTGGTGAATAAGCAGCTAGGTGGCTCAGTGGAAAGAGTTCCAGGCCTGGAGTCAGGGAGACTCATCTTCCTGGCTTTTTAAATGTGGCTTCACAAACTTCCTAGCTGTGTGACCCTGGACAAGTCACTTAACCTTGTTTGCCTAAGTTCCTTATCTGTAAAATAATATGGAGAAGGAAATGGCAAACCCCTCCAATGTCTTTGCCAGGAAAACCCCAAATAGAGTAACAAAGGAGTTGGACATGATTGAAAAAAGATTGAGCAACAACAAAATAGTTAATATAAAACTAAATCCCCCAAGTCCTCACTGCCCAGGTATCATGAACCTTTTCAAATCTTAAATAAAACTATTCCTTTTTTATCCCTGAAACTAAGCTCAGCAGAGGCTTCCCAAGCTCTGCTCTCTCCTATCTCAACCACCTTCCCTCCCTTCCTTCCCCATCTCAGCCTTCTCTGATAACACAAACTCTTACGACTGAGGCCTCATCACTGAAATTGTTTTTCTCCACGGACTCAGACATATTCTTGCTTTTCCCAGGGACTCTGGACTCTGGGTCAGGATGCTCAGGTTTTTGCTGGGCCTAGATGTTCTCTGCAATTCCCCGGGTTCAGAATTTCTTCAGTGGATTGATCGTCTCTATTAATATTTGATCTGGAAATCTTTCTTAAAATAAAATTTCTTTAAAGTAAAATTTTAAAATAAAAATAAAGTTTCTTAAAAATATCTACACCTATGATCTGCTTTTGGAAGTAATCCATTACAAAGTATCCATTTATAATAAGAAATCTTGCCTGCTAATTTCTTCCCATATCCCTGAATCCTGATGAGCTGGGGCTGTGATAATTGAGCACCATGGACTCCTGGCCTACTTCCTATTGGTTCAGATTTCTAGTCTTAGAAGGAGCTTAAGTGTCTAACAAGATGCCCATTTCTGGCCCTGGGGAGGAGAGGAGGCCTGAGCCTGCTTATGGATCAGGTGACAGAGGAGGGGGCTGGGCTAGGAAGACCTGCTGTGGCTCCCTCCCTCAAGATCTTTCTTCTTTCTTCCAGTTGAGCCCGAGGTGATTGTGTATCCATC